GCTGTGGCTGAGCCCATTTGCTCCATGTGTATTGTTTTATTTACTTACTTATTGCTTCTCTCCTCTGTAGGCTTCTGGGCTGACCGGACCCCAGTTCATGAAGCAGCCAGGAGGGGAGAGACCCTGCAGCTGCAGCAGCTGATAGAGAGTGGAGCCTGTGTCAATGCTGTCACCTACGACTCTATCACTCCACTGCACGAGGCGAGCCTGCGGGGACAAACGCAGTGTGTCAAGCTCCTGCTGGCTGCAGGGGCCCAGGTGTGTTTGGAGATACAGTCAGAGCTTCATCTGGAGTTATCTCTTAGAATCAGACTGGTTTGGGGTAAAGGGACCTTAAAGCTCCTCCAGCTCCAACCCCTGCCCCGGGCAGGGACACCTTCCACTAGAGCAGGTTGCTCCAAGCCCCTGTGTCCAACCTGGCCTTGAACACTGCCAGGGATGGGGCAGCCACAGCTCCTCTGGGCACCCTGTGCCAGCGCCTCAGCACCCTCACAGGGAAGAGCTTCTGCCCAAGAGCTCATCTCAGTCTCCCCTCTGGCAGGTTCAAGCCATTCCCCTTGTCCTGTCCCTACATCCCTTGTCCAAAGCCCCTCTCCAGGTCTCCTGGAGCCCCTTTAGGCACTGGAGCTGCTCTAAGGTGTCCCCTTCAGGAGCCTTCTCTTCTCCAGCTGCCCCAGCCCAGCTCTCTCAGCCTGGCTCCAGAGCAGAGCTGCTCCAGCCCTCGCAGCAGCTCCGGGGCCTCCTCTGGCCTCGCTCCAGCAGCTCCACGTCCCTCTTGTGCTGTTCCCCAGAGCTGGATCAGGGCTGCAGGGGGGGTCTCCCCAGAGCACAGCAGAGGGGCAGGATCCCCTCCCTGAGCTGCTGCTCACGCTCTGGGGGTGCACCCAGCACACGGGGGGTTCTGGGCTCAAGCACACACTGAAGTTGGATCATGGGGAGCTTCTCCTCACCCAGCACCCCAAATCCATTTCCTCAGGGCTGCTCTGTATCATGTCTATGGATACTGGGGGTTGGCCCAGGTGCAGGACCTTGCACTTGCCCTTGTTGAACTCCATGAACTCACAATGTCCCACCTCTCCAGCCTGTCCAGCTCTGTCTGGATCCCATCCCTTCCCTCCAGCATTTCAACCGCACCACACAGCTTGGTGCTATTGTCAGACTTGCTCATGGTGCCCTTCCTGAGAGTGATGGGAGCAGTTAGAGCAGGTTGCTGGTAGTAACATCCAGCTCCTTCCGTAGCCCAGAGTATTTCCAGGTTTAAAAGAAGTGATCCCCCAGAGCAGCCTGCAGGTTTCTAACATCTTTTGTCTGCCCTGAAGGTGGATGCCAGGAACATCGATGGCAGCACGCCGCTCTGCGACGCCTGTGCCTCGGGTAGCATAGAGTGTGTCAAAGTGCTGCTGTCCCATGGTGCCAAGGTGAACCCTCCCCTGTACACAGCCTCTCCTCTCCACGAAGCCTGCATGAATGGTAGGCCCTCATGGTCTTATCTTCCATAGTTATTTGCAGCTTGGGTTTGGGGAAATAAGCAGCTGCCAAGTATCTTAAGTGGACTTTAAGCTGTTGTTGCTCATCAGACCATTACAGCTTGCAAATGCATCAGCCTTGTGTGGGCACTTCTCCCACATCTCCCAGTCAGTTCCCAATGCAAAGCACTGTGGTGTTGGGTGAATAAAGTCATCCCTTGGTTTGGGTGCTTTTATCCTACATGACAGACACAGGGTAAGGTCTTAGGCTGATAAACACCAGCTTCTTGGTGCTCAGTTAGAAACCCATCAGCCAACAAGTAGCTTTTCTCTTGTGAGCAGAGGGGATTTTGCATCCTTCTCCTCTGATCCAAGCAGAGATGGAATAAATTGCTCTGATTAAGACATGAGACCATGTTAATCAGGTAGTTCTGTTCTAGATCCCTCCTGGTGGTTCAGAGCTGCTGGAGGAGGCTCTCAGGTGGCAAGAAGGTGCTGGGGACTGTTGAACATCTCTGCTGCCTGTGCTGTTCCTTGTCCGTCTCACAGCCTTTTCCAGCTGGAGGGTCTGCCCAGGGGACAAGAGAAACCTGCAGAGGCCAAAATGATGTGCCGTGTGGTGTGTGCAGCCATTCTCTGCTTCCCCATCCTCTACTTAAGCTTCTGGATTGCTTGGATCTGCATTATGGAGCAGGAGAAAGCATTAGGGGTGGCTGTGACAGCAGCAGAGGCAGGAGGAGCAGCAGAGGGGTGTAATTCCTCCCCTGAACTTCCACTTGCACACATACAACAGCAGGAAAGCCTGGATGTGAGAGCAGCAACGTCCCCATTAGATAATTGTGACCAAATCACTTCATCATTTTGTGCCTCAGTTTCCTCTTTGTAAGATGTAATACCTCCTCTCTCCTCCCCTGCTTTTGTTGTGTGCTGTCCTGGACAGTGTTTCCCTTTGACTGTGAAGGCTGAGACAGCATTTTGGCCAACAGGTAGTTACTTAAATAAGTAGCTGTGCTCTTGCTTAGCTTTTCCTTCTTAATCCTTTTTCCTAAGGCTTGATGGTGATACCTGCCTGCTTTTTGTTAAGATGTATCATCATCACCAGAAAAGTCAATCTGGAGTGGTCTTGAAAGGGATCGGATCCACTCAGGGCAGGATCAATACAACCACATCCATGAACAACAGGGGATTCAGTGCAAACCTTTGAAATCAGGTTTGTTTGACCTGACTATTAGGAAACTCTTCCCTGTGAGGGTGCTGAGGCGCTGGCACAGGGTGCCCAGAGAAGCTGTGGCTGCCCCATCCCTGGCAGTGTTCAAGGCCAGGTTGGACACAGGGGCTTGGAGCAACCTGCTCTAGTGGAAGGTGTCCCTGCCCGGGGCAGGGGTTGGAGCTGGAAGAGCTTTAAGGTCCCTTCCAGCCTAAACCATTCTATGATTCCATGACTCCCTGCAGGACCTGTTATCTCTAGCTCAGTGCCATGCAGATGGGACTCTGTTTCTCGTGTCCTGATCTCAGTCTTGGTCCTACACTGTATAGTATTGGCTTACAAGCATTTCTATTTTGCAGATGTCACCCCAAAAGTTAGCCAGGCTGGTGGTGGGTCAGGCAGATCTCATCTCACCATATGCTCCCATTTGAGCTGGATTCTTTCTTCTCACTTGGGTTTTCCCTTTCTAAAGGTAGCTCAGAGTGTGTGCAGCTCCTCATCGACGTCGGTGCCAACTTGGAGGCTCACGACTGCCATTTCGGGACTCCCCTACACGTGGCTTGTGCCAGGGAGCATCTGGACTGTGCCAAGTTGCTGCTTAAGGCAGGTATGACAGCCACAGGGTTTGCTTCTGGGTGGACAGGAGATGGTGATGGTGTGAGCAGCATCTCCTCCAGTGCTCCTCACAGCATTCTTGTTGAAGAGCTTATTCATTTGCAGCATGATATAGATGAGAAAGGTGAAAGGTTTTGCCTTTACCTGAGCAAAACTTAATGCTTAAGCATTTATTTCAGTGTATGCCTGTCAAAATCCAGTTTGTGGTGTTCCCAGGGGCATTCCCATTCTCTTACTTTATTAAAACTCCTAACTCTTCAGCAAAGATTCAACTTCTTCCTGAAAGTGGTATCAACTTGTGGGCACGTTTTCATCTTTGGTAGCACAGTCACATAGCTCTGAATGGGTGTTTGGGAGACATGTTAGGGTTTGATGTTGCACAGAAAACCAGAGATGAAGTCACTTCATACCTCGGGGAGATCTGGTTAGTGTAGTGCCCAGATGAGTTTGCGGGATGTTCAAGTTCTGTGCTCCAGGTTTCACATCCCAGCTTTCTCGCTGCTTACTTGGGGGCAGATTTGGGGTTGGACTTCTTGTCTTCGTGCTTACCACAAGGAGATTTAGCTCAGGGGTGGGGTTTGGTTCATTGAACACTTGTCTAAAATCACACATCTAAGCTAGTTTGTTTCCAGCTGCTCCAGTTCCCTGTCTTGGGCACCCGTAGTTGGTTCCCCAGAAATACCTGTTTCTCCTTGTTGATTGTAATGGGGATTCAGTGTGGCCACACGTGCCTAAAAGTCAGTTGTTTGGATTCATTGAGGTTCGTCTCACCTCTGCTGGACAAGTCAGTTGAATCAATACAAGCAGTTCTGGGGGAACGAGAAGGACATTTTGCTGTAAGCTTATAAAAGCCAAACTTCCTTAGCAAATATGTGTACCTAAAACTTGTTCCTGCAGTGGTGTCTGATGGTGAGCTGCAGCATCCTGTGGGGCTGGGGTATTTCTGTTGAAATACTTGAAAAGGGTGTTTGTCTGAGTGGGAATACTCCACTGACGTGACTGGGAACAGCTTTGAACAGCACAGATTCAGTTAGCAGTTCTGAACTTCACACTCCGCAGCTTATTTACCCAGTAACATGGACTCAAACCCTTCCTCTGCAAGGAAAACACAAAGCCAGAGAAGAAAACTCATGTGTTGCCAGCACTGAGAACGTGTTCAGTGGTTGGTTTCCTGTTTGCTGTTATGTTTGGATCTTGTTCTAGCTGCTTGTGTGTGTTTTAACAGCATTTCTTTCCTCCAGTCAAACCACTCCTTAAGTTCGGGTCAAGCGAGGCTTTCACGAGCAGGTTTGTTTTCCTTTCTGTCCTCAGGGGCTAATGTGAATGCTGCTAAACTTCACGAGACAGCCCTGCACCACGCAGCAAAGGTGAAGAACGTGGACCTGGTGGAGATGCTGATTGAGTTTGGAGGAAACATCTATGCAAGGGACAACCGAGGGAAGAAGCCTTCGGATTACACTTGGAGCAGCAGTCCCACAGCAAAATGCTTTGAGTACTATGAAAGTAAGTGAGAGATGATTCCCTGCTCCTGGAATTCAGTGACTGTCAGATCCTTTGCATGATTCTCAGTCCATTTTGAGTTGTAGATCCCTGATCACCTTCCTGTAAAGGTATAGAGTTCTTGGTGGCAAATGTACAGCCGTTGGTCTTGGCTAGCTCTGCCTAGTTGTGGTTGAATGACAGGGTAATATGGTCCAACTCATGTCCTCACTGTATTGAGGTCCCAGTCATATGTCAACACGAGTGTTTATGCTTTGATGTGTAAGTCAGGTCAAGGAAATAGCCCAGTTGAAAACTCATTTTATTTAGGGTGGGGAACACATTAAGCTTTAACTGAGGTGTTTGAAGATGGCTTTAAATTCATCTTTGTCTTGGTTACCCTTAGTGGACCTCAGAGGAGTAATTCACAGATCATTCTAAGCGTTTGCAGACCACTACGCAACACCACTGCATTAGATGATTCTAGAAGTCATAGAATCACAGACCGGTTTGGGTTGGAAGGGACCTTCTAGTTCCAACCCCTGCCCCGGGCAGGGACACCTTCCACTAGAGCAGGTTGCTCCAAGCCCCTGTGTCCAACCTGGCCTTGAACACTGCCGGGGAGGGGGCAGCCACAGCTTCTCTGGGCACCCTGTGCCAGCGCCTCAGCACCCTCACAGGGAAGAGCTTCTGCCCAAGAGCTCATCTCAATCTCCCCTCTGGCAGGTTCAAGCCATTCCCCTTGTCCTGTCCCTCCATCCCTTGTCCAAAGCTCCTCCCCAGGTTTCTTGTAGTCCCCCCAGACCTACGAGGCTGCCATCCCTGCCTCTGCAGTCAAAAAAACCCCAAAACTTGTTAAAACTAGACCAGCACTTTTACAAGAGTCTGTGCTGAAGGAACTACATGTGTGATTGTGCCAGCTGGGATGAGAGGGGGCAGCAAACTCTGGCAAGATACAAGGAGTATTTACAGGCATATAAGGTTCAATCTGCTCAGCCTCAGCTGCAGGCAGAGCAGCCCACTTCACTGCAATGAGGGCAATGAGTAACTCAGGGGAGGGGCTGCTGCAGGGAATGAAGTCAGAGGGAGAAGGGGCTGTAAGGTGCTCACCACACAAAGGTTTGCAAAGCCAGAAAATACTTTTTTCTTCTATTAGGAATAAAGTTTCATTTCTATAAGGAAGAATGGGGGTTATTTACACTGAGTGTGCTGAGGCGCTGGCACAGGGTGCCCAGAGAAGCTGTGGCTGCCCCATCCCTGGCAGTGTTCAAGGCCAGGTTGGACACAGGGGCTTGGAGCAACCTGCTCTAGTGGAAGGGGTCCCTGCCCGGGGCAGGGGGTTGGGACTGGATGAGCTTTAAGGTCTCTTCAACTCAAACCAGTCTGGGATTCTATGGCTGACACCTAGACTAGACTAGAGCAATGTGCCTGATTGTAACTGCATCCATGCATGAGCATCAACTCCTGAATGCAGTTTGGGGGCTGTCTGGAAGGGGCCTGGTGAGTTTCATTTGAGCTGTCAGCAGAGTGCTGAGCAAAAAGGGTTAATGTGATCCTTAGATGGAGACACAGAGTGGCAGAGAAGTGTTGGAAGTAGGTTTTGTTCCTGTATATGGTGTTGCTGAGGCTTAATACAGCATCACTAAGGGAAATGTGAAAGTCTTGGATCCCAGTGGATCAGAGCAGGTGATTCAGCAGGCACTGTTGGCCTTTGGTGGATGCAGGTGAGGGAGGGAGCTGGGAGAAGTGCAGTGCATCTACACTCACTATTCCTAGTGGGATTTGCACTGGGATGAGCCTGGAGAGAGCACACCCACGGCTCTGCAAAGCCTTCCTTTAGCGCTTACAAGCAGAGCCAGGCTTGTGATCCCAGCGGGATCAGTTCCAGGCATCACCCCCTGGGAGGTCTGTGGGAAGATCAGCCACTTGCTGTGCTGCAGCTCTAACTTTGGATCTTCTTCTCTCCTTTCAGAAACACCTCTGAGCCTGTCCCAGCTCTGCAGGGTTACAGTGAGGAAAGCAGCCGGGCGGCGGGCGCTGGAGAAGATCGCCAAGCTCAACATTCCTCCACGGTTAATCCAGTACCTGTCCTACAACTGACAGGGATGAGGATGCCCAGGAAGGACAGTACCTTTAGCTCCCACAGTACGAAGTATCTGTCTCTTTCTCTTCTACCTCCCCCCCAAGAAACTCGTTGTAATTTAAGCAAACTGGTGTAAATAGTATTTATGAGGCAGCACTTCCTCTTCTCCGTGGGTAAAGACAGGCTCAGGCAACGTGTAGCACTGTGGAAGTTGTGATGTCTCCTGGGGTGATCTGTTAGACTGTCACTATCTTTGAGGCTGTAGCACACACTCTTGGAGCAGGATTAATCTTGCCTAATTTTACCTGTCTTTAGCCTAAAGGCGTCTGTGTATGATCTCACCAGGCTCCTTTTGCAGTCAGGGAGGAGAAACAGATACTTCTGGAGCATGATTCATCTGTCCTGTTTTAGATGCCCGTGCTGGGGTGATACAGTGTGACTCTGGAATGCCTGTCTCTGCTGACTGCAAAGGGATTTGAAGGTGATACCCTCAGATATGGACATCTGTGTTTCTGCAGTGGATCCCACTGTGTTAATATCTCAAGTGACAACTACCTAATGCCAAGGGACAAGGCTCGAGAGACCTGCAGCTCTAGCTGGAGGCAAATGAAGTCCCCAGCAAGCTCAGGACTAATCAGAAGCACTGCAGCTGGTTACTGACTTCCCATGAGCATAAGGCAGGCTTTGGCCCCACACCAACAGTGAGGACAAACTCCTGCCAGAGCAGGGTTGACTTTGCCCTCTGAAGGTGAGCCAGCTCTTCCTGCAGTGTTCCTCTAGGGTATCACCATGGCTCATTTTCAAGCCCAAGCAGGAAGCAGGTCTCTCTGCACGTCCAAACATGCTTCCCTCCAGATGGCTGGTCCCAAACTATTATTTCTCCACTCACTCTGAGCCACTGTGGCCACTCTGTTGGGTTTATGCAATAAGGGACAGAGATGTTGCTACTAAGAGATGGCAGAGCTGCTGTGCATGAAGCACAGGGGGCATGTCTCTCGTGTAGCAGTGCAGCAGATCCCACATGTGAAAGGCAATAGGAGGGCTCTACCTTTGGGTTTCGAGATTCTTACTTGTATTTCCCCCTCCTCTGAGTTTCTCTCTCAGTGTTAGAGCCTCTCCAGAGGCTGGCAGCTGGAGCCAGCCCCGAGCTATGTGCTGCTGCGTGTTGTGCTTGAATCCTTTGGCTTCAGCAGGCACAGCAGCAGCTTTGTCCTTTGGTGATTTAAACCTTCAGGGTGACATTTGTATGAGCAGAGCCCAAATTGTCACCTACCTTCCAGCTGAGACAGGCAGGTCCCCTACCTTCCAGTCCTGAAGGCAGGAACCCACAGGATACGTGGTACTAAGGGGATGGAGCTCCCTGATGCCCCATAACAAGTCTTAACACTGTGATGGAGAACAAATTCCTCCTCTGAATGACAGCAAATGCTATGAAATCCACTGTCTAACGTGGCATGGAGCTAACTCAGGGCTCCAACATCCTTGATGCTGTGAACTAATGAGAGCAGTTTGCCTCCTGCCTGCAAGATCTCGTGCTCCCCCAGCCACCACGATGGGGCTCAGTCTTGGGAGGGGAGGAACAGCCTAAACACAGGGTTGAAGAGCTGAGGTGGAGCTGAATGCACTTTAATGGTGACCAGCAAATCACTGTGTGTGTTCATTTTTGGTTAGGTTCATTCCCCACGCCTCCCTCTGTTGTTGTTTTGTGTTCTGCTGTGCTGTGTCATAGAGAATAAAGTTCAAGATCCTGCTCTTTAGGGAATTGTCTGTTGATAATTGTGATTATTGTGTTCAAAGTATTAGAAATGTGAAATTGCCAAGAAGCTCAGGGAAGCCCAAGAGGTGTTGGCTGTGGGATTCATCCCTGCGATTGATGGGATAAAGGTTTTGTGCTGTATCTTCCAAGGAAAGCTTCCCCTGCCCAACATGCATGTCCTTTTGGATAAATAGGTATTAGGAAAGTGCATCTTGTGGTAATCTGGGATGAAAACCTTCCTTCTTGGCTCAAATCCAAATCCCTGTTAGGTTGCTTTTTAACACTACGCTGGTGAGATGATGAAATGATTGAGCCCAAGTTTCCAGTGTAAAAGCAAAAGACTCCTTGGACAACCAAGAATAAAATATCATGTTCCTGTTTATGTCATCTTTCCTTTCTTCCTCTCTTTTAAAGTCACCTGATAGGTCCTAAAGTTTGGTTCTTTTTACTTAAATCTCTTTTAAGAGGTCCTGCTCATCAGTGCCTGCAGCCAGGAGGGACTAATGGAGAGATCTGAGCACCTCGTGGTGGCAATAGCCAGACTCATTCAGGAGCTGTTCTCCTAAAGACACCCACTGGTTCCCCTGGAGGGAAGAGGGGCCCAAGAAAGTTGGATAATGTCCAAGGATCACCTCTTCCAAGCTCAGGAGCATCCTGACAAAGAGGAAGTGAGGCAGAAGCACCAGGAGGCCTGCAGGGACGAACATGGAGCTCTTGGGCAGAAGCTCTTCCCTGTGAGGATGCTGAGGCGCTGGCACAGGCTGCCCAGAGAAGCTGTGGCTGCCCCATCCCTGGCAGTGTTCAAGGTCAGGTTGGACACAGGGGCTTGGAGCAACCTGCTCTAGTGGAAGGTGTCCCTGCCCGTGGCAGGGGTTGGAGCTGGAGGAGCTTTAAGGTCCCTTCCAACCCAAACCAGGCTGGGTTCTGGGATTCCATAACAACTTTGGCTTTAAAACCCCTGATTTCAACACAGGGAACAGGGTGTTCACCAGCCTCCGAGCTGACCAAGGCTGGACTCAAGCAAGCAGAGACTCCCCAGCTTGGTTTACACAGACTCCTCTGTGGACAGGCAGAATCCTCTGGCAAGTGCCTGCAGAGAATCACAGAATCAACCAGGTTGGAAAAGCCCTTCAAGCTCATCCAGTCCAACCATTCCCCAGCACTGCCAAGGCCACCACTAACCCATGTTACTAAAGATTTACCTGCAAGATTGGTTGTTGCCCTGAAGAAAGGAGGGAGGTGATGAAAAGGGGGTGTGAAAACTCATGTAGATACCTGATGTCTTCAGCATTTGTTTCTTGTGCTTTAAATCAAGAGGTAGAACACATATTTCATGCTCATGCTTGCTCTAAACGTGATGCAACCACCATGTTGCTCACCTTCCAAAGGCCACTGAGGTCTTTGCTGCTTGCTAAGGTTAGGGCAGCCCTTGGGCTTTCCCCTCTTGTACGGAGCCTCCTGAAGATGCTAGAATATAATCACACTGACCCCTTCATCTTTACACTGAGCTGCAACCAAGGGCACAAACCCTTCCTTCACGCACAGAGGGGAAGGGTGGCTCCTCTCCACCTCATCCCAGCACCACAAGGAGTTAATCCTTCAGCACCACGAGGCTTCCTCCCAAGGCATCAGCTTCAGTCGCACCTTGTTTTTGCTGGCCCAGCTCCACAGAGCTGGAGCAGAGCTGCTGCACTCAAGCTCCTCACTCATAACCGACCTTAAGAGGCCCGGCTGGCAGCAACCAGCAGCAGCCAGGAGCAAAGCTGAGTGTCCCAAAGGTGATGTTTGTGGATGAAAGCAAAGCCCTGTCCTCACATGGGCTTCCCGAAGCAAAGGGGTTGTTTCAGAGCACTCCTTGTGCTGCTGGACTTGGAGTAAAGTAACCACAGGAGAAGGGAAGTGGCCTGAAATGCTCAGCTGGGCAGGCAGCTTGGGGAACATGGGAAGGGGATGGGTGGAAGCAGGACTGACCTGGTGGGTTTGGGTTTCTTTGGGTTGGATTCATGCTCTGGTTTGACTTTCAGGAAGTCAAATAACAGCCAGAACCTGGCATCAAACTAAAGCAGAGGGTGTAACCCAAGCAGAGGCAGTCAAAGAGTTTCACTTAATGCCTGTGGCTCAGAAAGACTCTTTCGTTCCCAACCATCCCTCAACTCTTCACAGACCCCTGGGTCCTTCAGCTGCCACCAAAGCAGCAAAGGCGCCCACACTCTATAACCTAAGTGTGAACTGGGTGCTTGGGATTTCCAACTTTTCTAACACATAACAGAGAAGTCAACCCTACGTGGCCAACTCAGCACCCAGAGGTGTAAGACTTACAGGAGGTAAGGTCCTCTTGAGATCTTTTGTCTTATACATGTTAGAAACAAAACAGTTTCTTTGTGCAAACATAACCAGGGGAGGAATCTCTCAGGGCAGCCACAACTGCCTTTCTCAGCCCATACCTGTGATGTGAGGGTGCAAGGAGAATCACAGAGAGGTTTGGGTTGGGAGGGACCTTAAAGTTCATCCAGTCCCAATCCCTGCCACGGGCAGGGACACCTTCTGCTAGACCTGAAGTTCCCCTGTTTCAGTTTGAACCCAAACTTAAAGCCAGCACCTGAATCAGTAGCAAGGTAGTGAAACATAAAGGAGGAAAAATCCCTATGGATTTCTTAGGAACTCTGGCAACCTCACCTACTTCTACATAGCACCTTTAGGCTTGCCTGTGCTGTTGGCTAACTCCAGCCTCTCCTCCCTGCATGCCACAGGGGACAAAAACCTCATGTGTCCTGCAAAAGAACCCCAAACCAACCCACTTTTCCACCCAAAGCCATGGGTGCAGCCTGTTGGTGCCCTATAACTGATACCCTGATGCTTCTCTGGGTTTGGGTGCTGAGACACAGGGCTCAGGAGGTGTCAAACTCTGTCCTTGTTCAGCCTGGAGAGGAGAAGGCTCCTGAAGGGGACACCTTAGAGCAGCTCCAGTGCCTAAAGGGGCTCCAGGAGACCTGGAGAGGGGCTTTGGACAAGGGATGGAGGGACAGGACAAGGGGAATGGCTTGAACCTGCCAGAGGGGAGATTGAGATGAGCTCTTGGGCAGAAGCTGTTCCCTGTGAGGGTGCTGAGGCGCTGGCACAGGGTGCCCAGAGAAGCTGTGGCTGCCCCATCCCTGGCAGTGTTCAAGGCCAGGTTGGACACAGGGGCTTGGAGCAACCTGCTCTAGTGGAAGGTGTCCCTGCCCGGGGCAGGGGTTGGAGCTGGAGGAGCTGTAAGGTCCCTTCCAACACAAACCAGGCTGGGGTTCTACCACCTCACTG